ACACCATGGAATACTCTGCAGCCATAAAAAGGATGAGTTTGTGTCCTTTGTAGGGACATGGATGAATCTGGAAACTGTCATTCTCAGCAAACTGACACAAGAACAGAAAATCAGACACTGCATGTTCTCACTCATAGGTGGGCGTTGAACAATGAGAACACATGGACACAGGGAAGAGAGCGTCATACACTGGGGTCTGTTGGTGGGGCATCTAGGGGAGGGACAGCAGGGGTTGGGGAGATTGGGGAGGGATAGCATGGGGAGACAAGCCAGATACAGGTGATGGGGTGAATGGAGGCAGTAAACGACATTGCCATGTATGTACCTATGCAACAAACCTGCATGATCTGCACATATACACCAGAACCTAAAGTACAATAAAAAAAACAAAGAACATTTCATTCCATAACAATATGGAATGATGCTATGTACTTTGACCTAAATCCAAGTAAAAAGTAGCACTGAAACTCAGTTTTGCTTATTTATTAAGTCATCTGGGAATTCTCGGTGTTTTCCATTTATGACTTCTAGTGTGTCCTGCATTTTCCATTGATCCATTGATAGAAGTGGTTGTCCTTTTTCATTCTTCTTTTTCTGATTTTTACAGTATTACCTTCATTTATATTTCTACTGAATCTATTAACCAAGTCCCCATATTATTATCCCAATTTGTGTATTGTCTAATTTTTAGTAGGTTGTAAATCTTTATTTCAATCACTTATTTTTTCTTCAGTTCATTAGTTTTCTTTAATCTGTCCTAGAAGATTTAAGAATCTGTGGCAGATTATTCTAATGCAAGACACATCTTTTCCATTAACCTCTCCTTTAATATTTTCCTTTTTTTTTTTTTTTTGTAATTTCCTTTCCCTAGTACATCTTGTCTATTAATCTCCATCAAAAGAACTGTAAGTGCTGACCACAAATGTGACACTGAAAAGGAGGATTCATGAGAAGAGAAAACTACCTGTCGTAGACTGCTTCTGAAAATATGTGGCCTTGTTCTGCTCTCTTTGATGATTTTTATCTCTTCCTCCAAATGTAGAATCAGGCCAAAGTACCCAACTGTCACAACTGGATCAAGCCAGCTGCACCTTTTAAAACCAAGTACAAGGCTCACTGCAACCCATGGTACCTTACCTCCCTAACCCCGGGACAGCCTTGATCCTCACTAGGCAGGGACAACACCACAACCAGCAAGAAGCAGCTACAGAAAATTGATCCTCAGTGCCTCTGCTTCCCATAAAGATTTATGGGGATCATGTCTCAAGGGGAAAATGAGGCAGAATAGGGAATTAGGGTAATCAAGGGTTAAGGCTTAAGCAAAGGAACAGTAGATGCAGCCAGTTCTAGGCAAGATTAGGCAGTATATTAGCCGCATCCTCACTCCCACGGTAACAAAAATCAGAAGTTTTCGCCTCAGCCTCTGATTGGCTGCGGGCCCAGTCTCTACTTCAGCCTCTGATTGGTCACATGCTCATCCTTCATGGGATGCAACCAATTGGAGGCCTCTAAAGGAAACCTAGGGGTGTTATCAAATTCTTTTAATAAAAATCCTAGGCTGTTGCAGTGGCTTAAGCCTGTAATCCCAGCATTTTGGTAGGCTGAGGCAAGTGGATTATGAGGTCAGGAGTTAAAGACCAGCCTGGCCAACACGATGAAACCCCATCTCTAATAAAAATACGAAAATTAGCCAGGTGTGGTGGCAGGCGCCTGTAATCCCAGCAACTCAGGAGGCTGAGGGAGAGAATTGCTCGAACCCCTTGAATCTGGGAGGCAGGAGTTACAGTGAGCCGAGATTGCGCCATTGCACTCCAGCCCCGGGGGCAGAGTGAGACCCCGGCTCAAAAACAAACAACCAAAAAACTCTAAAGAATATTGTAGATGGGGCTCTTGAGCCGCTTGCTCGAGCCCACTCCTACTTTGTGGAGTGTACTTTTGCTTCTATCAGTCTGTGCTTTCGTTGCTTTGTCCTTTGTGTGTTTTATTCAGTTAAGGTTCAGCACACCAAGTACATGGACAATTCAATCAAGACCTTACATTCACTAACATATTTTGCAGTTTTTGCTAAACACTTGTTATATTTCAGCGCTATGTGCCACGTGATTAATTTCTTCAGTAATTAGAATTTTCATGTAGAAGGTTACCAGTATATTTTGGATATATGCGTAACTCAGTTTTTTTTTTTTTTAAGATACAACGAAGAGTTTCTGAATGAATTTTTGAACTTTTTTTGAAAGAAAGGATATTCTCTAAATATGAATTATGTGATTCATGGTATTTGAGTGGCCTAGGGATAATCAGTAACATGATATTACAGTCCAACTGAGTCTTTTGTTTAAGAAAATAATAACTTTTTTTGTTTAGACTTCTACTGGAAGGAGAGAACCAGGGAACGGCTTTTATGGTAGTGCTGAGATTTATTCAGTTTTTCCTTCATTTTACTTGTCTTTATAGAGCACTGGAGGTATAGGACAAAAATCTCTGCCTTCATGAGTTTTAGAAGATAAGTGAATATATGTTATGTTAAATAAGTGCTTAAGAGCACCCTTCCCCTAGAAAAATGTCAAAATTTGAGTGATTAGAGAAGGAGATTGAAATTTTTAGGTAGTATGACTAGGGAAGGCCTCACTGAGAGAAGGTACTATTTGACAGAAGGGGGACCCATGTTATATCTGAGGAAAGAGCATTCCAGACAAGGGCGGAGACTGGCATGTGTAAGGAACAATGAGAAGGCCAGTGTAGTTGAGTCAGGAAAAGATTAATGATAGGAATACAGTGAGGTGTGCACTTCATGAGGGAGATGGTAGATAATAAAAAAGGCATTTGTTCTGAGAGAGTTGGGTAATCATTTGAGGGTTTTGAGCAGAAGAGACAGGTGATCTTCTGTTTTAATACTGCCACTCTAGCTACTATGTTGCAGATTGACTGCAGGAAACTAGGACATAAATAAGAAAATCAGTTTGGCGGTATTGGCGCAGAGCATTGGCTGTGGTTTTGGAGTAAGGTGGTTGAATTCTGGATGTATTTGTGAGTGGAGTCAACAAGATTCACTGTCAGACTCCTTGTTGGCACGTAAGATAAAAGGAGGAATTAAGGATGGTTTCCAAAATGTGGAGCCTGAGCAACTGCAAATATGTACTTTTCATTAGCAGAGGATAGGAAGGGGCAAGATTGAGACATCTAAGAGGAAATGTGGAGTAGGGATGGGAATTAGTTTTGGTGGTCTGGATTTCAGAAGAGATATCTGGGCTTAAGATAAAAATCCATGGTGGTGGAAGCCAATGGAAGATGATGTTTCAGGGAAACATCTTCCAAGGGAAGATGGTGTTTCAGGAGGGAGTAATCACCCTAGTAAAATGCTAGGGTGCTGCTGAGAGGTTAAGTCAGATGAGAAATGACTGTAGGCATTAGCAATGTGGTGGTGGTGGTGAGGGTCTTTGATAGTCATGAATCGTGTTTTCACTGCAGTTGTGATAACATGATTGGGATGGATTCAGAGAGAATGGGAGACAGCAAGTACAGGCAACTTTCTGAGGAGGTCACCAAAAATTGTCGCTGTTCCTATATCAAATCCTCCCTGTTCTGTATCAAAATTTTTTCCTTGCTGCTGCATTTTACCATCAGTATACAAACATGCTTTTTCTTCCATTTAAAAAAAAATGAAAAAAAGGGGAAAGGGTGGCAACTGAAATGGGAAAGGAAGAGAAGTGGTTTTTCTTTTTTATATGGAAGGGACAACAGGCTTGTATACTGATGGTAAAGATGTAGCAGTGAGGAAAACATTTTGGCACAGAAGGGAGGAGAATTTCTGGAGTAATGATATCAATTGGTAAGAAGGTAGAATATTTGACCTGCAGTAGACACATATTCAGTTCATCTGTAGTAAAACCAGAGAAGAGTAGTGCCTGGGTATAGATACCGGGTGTGAGGAATTCTGGAAATTCTCTTCTGAATCTGATTGCTCCAAAGTAGGAAGCAAGGTGGTTGGCTGAGAAGGAGGCTGGAGAAAGGGGATAGATTAGAGATAAAAGGAGAGAAAACTAATATGAACTAATCCTCTAGGAGAGGAAGGAAAATAATGCTGCATTATGTGTATTGAAATCACCGTAACTTGTAAATATTGTTGGAGAGAGTGACATGACAATGAGGCAGAAGTTAAAATCATTGTGAAATGAGGGATAGTGAACTCTGGAGCAGTGAATGCTGCAGTTAGTGACAAGTGTAGTCTCATCTGACATTCAAAACTGTGGTTTCATGAAGGGCGAATAGAGGATACTGTGCTCCACTTCTAGGCTCCCCTAGTGGTACTATTTGAGAAGGTTATAGGGATGGCAGTGTTTTGTGAAAACACTAGGTTAGAGCAAAATGAAAAAGAATCAGAAATACAGGAGATTTTTTGGGACACAATGAAAGGATTTCAGGAGACCAGGAGATGGGGTCAGAAAAAAGGATTACATATGTATTTTGGAGAGAAAAAATCATATAAGCAATTTAGAGGCACAGTGAAATGAGTAAAATTTAGAGGTACAGTGAAAAGAGGTACAAATGAAATGAGTAAAAGAATGAGCAGACACTTGATACTGCAAAAAATGCTCTACAGACATTGAGAAGCAGCTGTTTTTTTTTTTTTTTTTTTTTTATCACTTCTGAAGAGAACAAAGGGAAAAAGATTTAGTTTTATGCAAGTGTAGTAGGAAACAGATGCAAGAGAGTTCTTCCTTTTTCTGTCTCTGGAACATTTCAAGAATAAGGCAGTTTTCTCTTCAGAGTTTACACATAATGTTATAAACTGGATGACTTGTTTAGGTATTCTGTATTTCCTGTGGTACCTTTGGCAAATGAATGTCTTAACAAACATGGCATATTGCTTAAGCTTGATCTCAGTGGCAAATTAAATACAGCTTAAATGGATCAGTCTTTCATCATTAGTTATAAATGCATCGGTTATTCTATAGAAATCATAATATTGAAGATTATTAGTGTATCTTGTATTTTAACAGGTTGCGGTATTTTATAGAGCTAGCCCAAGGCACAAGATGAAAATTATTAAGGTGAGTGTTTAAGAATCAGATTGTTTTAGTTCTGTGTACAAAATGCTCCTACTTTACCTTTATGTTTGCATTACAAGGAGTAGCACATCAAGGTCAGAAGTACAGTTGTTGTTGTTGTTTTGTAAGAGCTTGACATAGAAACACTAATAGAGAATTTAGTTGGTATAAGAAGATGTAGAAGAAAACTTGAATGAAGTATCTGCAAATACAGCCTTCTTTAAACAGACAATATAAAAGAATGTTCTGACTGGGGCCCGTAGCCAAATCATCCCAGTGTGAATAGCAGTGATTAGTTAGAAACTAAATAAATATAGCAAGAAAAATAGTGTTAATGATAGTGTGAACAATACTTAAAAGGCTATGGTTATATTAAATAGTGAAATATATATAAAGTGACTGATACAGTATCCAGTAGTTAATGGACTTAAATTATTAATCATGATAGCCAGCCATTGTGTAGTTGAGAGTTTCTCAGCCTTGGCACTATTGACATTTTGGACTGGATAATTCCTTGTTGTGAAGGCCTGCTCAGTATATTATAGAATGTTCAGCAGCATTCCTGGCCCGTTGTCGCTAGAGACTAGTGACATCCCCCAAATCATGACAATCAAAAATGTCTCCAAATATTGTCAGATGTCATTTGGGAGGCAAAATTGCCCCTAGTTGAGAATCACTGTATAGTTGTTTGAAGAACAGACTTTAGAGATACAGTTCTCACAGATAGGAATATTAATAGCAACTGTTTCTAAGCTTTATCTTACTGAGATCTCCATTTGTTGAAGTTTATTGAAAAATGGGTGATCTATATTATTTCTAATCTTAATTATGTGAAAAAATTTTGGGAGGATTTGTTTATCCTTTTATATGGAAACCACATTTTTATCAGAATTCCTTCTTCTCCCCTGTCCTCTGCCCTATTCTAGTCTCTACAGAAGAATGGTTCAGTTGTAGCCATGACAGGAGATGGAGTAAATGATGCAGTTGCTCTGAAGGCTGCAGACATTGGAGTCGCGATGGGCCAGACTGGTACAGATGTTTGCAAAGAAGCAGCAGACATGATCCTAGTGGATGATGATTTTCAAACCATAATGTAAGTTTTGTTTCAGTAAATGCATATCAGAGAATCCTCCTCTATCTTTTCCTGTCCCCCATCCCCAGAGAATTCAACTGGAAAAGAATTAGCAGTATTTAAACATTAGGTAAACTTAATTATCCTATTTTATGGCCTATTATGTAGTTCTGAAGAAAATGATTTGTGTGGCTGGAACAGGCATAGTTAATGGCAGGACCATCATTTAAGAAATATTTGCCAAGTGCCAGCCACATGTCTACTTTTTCTGGGCCCTAATGTGATGGTATAGCAGTGACCTTTATTTCAGTTAGGCATATGCATATGCCTTTAGTTTAGCATATTTTAGTTAAATTCAGGTAGTTAGAAATATGCATTAGGGCCTTTAAATAAATATTGAAAATTATGAAGTTTACATTCATACCTGTTTTTTTTTTTCTATCAGTAATTATTCATGTTGCTCTCATTTAGTGTTACAGTTTGTTAAATTTAAATAGCTTACCACAGTTTCCAATTGATTTAAGACCCCAGTGAATACGTGGTGGTGTCAGTTTCACAATGTTCCGATGGGGATCATATGAATCCCATTTATTTTTTTTTTTGGTAGCTACCTGTTATATGACCTGAGTTTAGTGATAAATTCTAATTATATGTTCCAGGCTGCATTATTACTCTGTTTTGGCCTACAGGGAAACATTTGGGATCTCAGGACTCAGAGTATTTACCAAGCTTTTGCAAGGATATGAGTTTTTTCTTTCCATTATTAGAATTATATAGAAATCTTAGAACATAATGGGAACTTGATCAAAAAAACATAGATCTTCCTAGATTCAGCTAAGTGAATGAGACAATTTATATGAATCCTTGTAAACCATATTCTTTCTTTAATTCCTCTGCAACATGTGATCTACTTGACGTGTAGGAGCAACACATAGCTTAAATTCTATAACTTATATACCTCATTGCCACTTGATTCCTAACATGCATTATTTTAAACATTTGCTCTACATCTTGTACCTCTAAGAAAAATGAGCTTAGAGGAAGGTGAAGAAGATAATCATAGGCTGGGCATGGTAGCTACCTACCTCATGGTAGCCCAATGCCAACACTTTGGGAGGCAAAGGTGGGTGAATCACTTGAGCCCAGGTGTTCGAAACAGGCCTCAGCAACGTGTCAAAACCCATCTATACAAACAATAAAAAAAAAAAATTAGCTAGGAATCGTGATGTGCGCCTGTGGTCTCAACTACTCTGGAGGCTGAGGTGGGAGGATTGCAGGAGCCTGGAAGGTTGAGGCTGTAGTAAGCCAAGATTGTGCCATTGCACTCCAGCCTGGGCAGCAGAGCAAGACCCTGTCTCCAAAAAAAAAAAAAAGATAATCATTTTATTTATTATGAATGTGAAGGATATTTTCTTGTGTGGAGAGACAACATGTGATTTTAATGTTGAAATATCTTCTTCAGAATAAGAATTTTAATACTGTGACAAATTAGTTCAGGTAGAACTTAGGGTTGACTTTAAAATAAATGTTTGTTAAAATAAATATTTCCATATTGATACTTGTGTTGTATTAGTTGGAAATTTTATTTATTTATTTATTTGAGACCGAGTCTCACTATGTTGCCCAGGATGGAGTGCAGTAGTGTGATATCGGCTCACTGCAACCTCTGCCTCCTAGGTTCAAGCAATTCTCTTGTCTCAGTCTCCCTAGTAGCTGGAATTACAGGCATGCGCCACCACACCTGGCTGCTTTTTGTATTTTGGCCAGGCTGGTCTTGAACACCTGACCTCAGGTGATCTGTCTGCCTCGGCCTCCCAACGCTGGGATTACAGGCACAAGCCACAGTGCCCAGCCGGAAATTTACTTTCAAAATTAGCTCCACAGTGTTTTAGTACAGATATATTTTTATATGATAATATTTTCTCACTTCATCTTTTTTAAATTTCAGGTCCGCAATTGAAGAGGGTAAAGGGATTTATAATAACATTAAAAATTTTGTTAGATTCCAGCTGAGCACGTAAGTTTGCAAGAAATTTGTCGCCATGGGTCTTCTAGATAAATTATATGAAAAGTGAAACTTTAGCAGAATGCCTAGAAATTTCTCTGCCTTATATTTCTGAGCATTGGTCATATGTCAGTTTTCCAAAAAGAAAATTTGTTGTATTCTGAAATTTAAAATGGCATTATAAATAGGTTCTAAATGTTACAATTAGATGTCTGTATCATCATCAAAATATATACACTTTTGTGATTTATTTAATAGCTCATGAAGTCAGGAATGAGTCATATCTCATTGTTTCTTCTTGGCATCTTTTTTCAAAAGTAGAAGGATATTGTGTAGTCAAAAAAGAGTTACAAAATATTGTTGAAACTGTCATGCAGATTTAAAAATTCTTCATTTGTTGCCGTTGTCTAAACATCTTGAAAATCCGTTGTTAAAATACTCTTAGATTTAAAATGTCCACCTCAATGAAGAATGAGTGACTTGCAATAGAGTCTTACTTTAAAAGCATAGTAGTAACAAGAGGTTTTTAAATGCTAAAAAAGTGGTATTGTAGAATCAACAGATTTACTATGCTGATATTTTTACATGACTCTCTTTTTCAACAGGAGCATAGCAGCATTAACTTTAATCTCATTGGCTACATTAATGAACTTTCCTAATCCTCTCAATGCCATGCAGATTTTGTGGATCAATATTATTATGGATGGCCCCCCAGCTCAGAGGTATGAATTTTTTATCAGATACCCTGATAATTAAGTTTTAAAACTTGATTTATGGACAGCGTTGGAAAATTTTGCAGCAAATGTTTTAACATTTTTGTTATAAATTGTGTGTTGTGTGTATATCATTTATTCTTTTTGAATGTGCATGCAGCATAGATCTGAGACTTTCCACAGTTAGATGCCTAGCCTAAGGTTGAGAATAGATCAGGAACAGGTGCTGTCTCTGTCTTCAGGAAGTAAGCTTTTCATTTCCAAGAACTGGATATAATGGAGAAATTTCTGAGTTCAGTATTATCTAGGTTCTGCTGTCAGTTTTAGAGAACTTTGGAAAAGTATTAAGACCTGAATCTTAACTTTTTAAAAAAAATTAATAATAATGGGGTAGTTGAGTGATAGATGTCATTTGGCCACTCCAACAAATCATCCTAGTCAAAACCTCTTTATATGAAAGATATTTCAAAATTTGGTTAGTAGGTCATGTATTTCACACCATGTATTTCACACCATATTTGAAATAAGTAAACTTAGATGTAAATGAGTTAGATAGTTTTTGAAAGTTGATTATCCCCTATCAAACTGTGCCAAACAAATGAGTTGCAGAGGAAAGTGACAAAATCAGTGGTTATTTTTGCATAATCACAGCCAAGGTTTTCTTTATGATTCAACATTTTGTTTCCATAAGAAAGCATTTAGTTTGCTGGATCCTTGAGGTTAGTGAGGTTGTGGAAGTAACAAATCCAAACCTTAAAACTTGAAAGTAATTTATTTTTCTGTTTGTTTTTAAGCCTTGGAGTAGAACCAGTGGATAAAGATGTCATTCGTAAACCTCCTCGCAACTGGAAAGACAGTATTTTAACTAAAAACTTGATACTTAAAATACTTGTTTCATCAATAATCATTGTTTGCGGGACTTTGTTTGTCTTCTGGCGTGAGGTATATTCACTGGACAAGCTGCTATATTAACATGAATTCTATATATATGATAGGATTCTTAGTTATTTTGATGTGTTACTCAGAAGTCTGGGACATTAAGGGAGCTCTTTTAGTGAAGAATATGATAAAAACATTTTATAAGAGTTTGATTTCTATCTTTATGGATAAATTAATTGATTCATTTATTAGAATAATTAAATCTACAGAGAAGTATCAGATGTAATAAAAATACATGAAAATTTAGAGAGAAGTTAGAAAATCTGAGTATATCATATAGCCACTTTATTTTAAAATAATAACAGTATTTTAATATTTAATACATAGTTAATGAGAAGATTTTTTTTTACTTATGTAGATTACAACTTTTCACTATGTGATTTATAGAAAATTTAGGTAGCTTTTATGTTTCATATGTTATGCTAAAGCTGTTTCTTCCTAATGGAAAGAAAATGTTTGTATTTTTTAAAAAGCCACCCTATTTGTCCATTAAATTCAGCCACTGAAAAGTAGTTTTGTTATTACCTCTTAACAGCTGCGAGACAATGTGATTACACCTCGAGACACAACAATGACCTTCACATGCTTTGTGTTTTTTGACATGTTCAATGCGCTGAGTTCCAGATCCCAGGTATGTTTAGGTGCTCTTAGTTGATTGCCTCACTTGAGTAGAGTACTTTCTAATAAGTAGGCAAAGATTATGGGTTTTTAGCTTTGCTTAATTTTGTAGCCACGGATTACAGCCCCAGACACAGCCTTCTTATAAACATGTGCCATTGGTCACAATGAGGATGGGGCATTTGCAGGAGGTAAGCTTTATGTCTGACTACTACGTAAAAGTATTAATAATTCCTAGGTGTTGTCATCTGGGTTTAGCTATAAGATAGATCATGGTTAACATTATCTGATCATAGAACAAACCTCATAGGTTCTGTTAAGATGTTATTAGTCTCATTTTAGAAAACAGTATTGCTGGGAGTGCAAGAGCAGTTTTGTGCCTATTTTTTTTCCATTACTCCTGTCATTGTGTCAAAGCTTAGGACATTTTAATTTGCTTTACTTCCCTTGTTGTATCTTAAGGTGTGACTGCTGCTTCTTGGTCTAAGTGTTTTGTTAGGAAATAATGGGCCAGAGTTTTGTGGTGCTTTTTAAGAGCGTATTGTCCTTAAAAACTAGTTTCATTTGAGGCATGACTGTTCATTTCAGCTTTAAAGCACTTTATGAGTCCTTAACTATATTACCATTTGCCATGCTAGAACTTCTAAGTACAGTGAATTCTCACTAATTGACTATTTTTTGAAGAAGCTGTAATACTTATTTTTTTGTGAAAAGTGGTTTTACTTTTTCAGTATACACATAATTAGGTCCATTCTCCAAGAAAGGATTTTAGAGTATCCACCTTAGTGAATGGTTAGAAATGATTTAGCAAAATACAAATAAAGTTTCTTGATGTTTGGGATGTTAAAAGAAAATTTCTTTTCTTTCTGTGGTCTCATTTATATAGTGTCACTTTTTTAAGCAAGCCCTTAATAAAAGCTACTTTAATATTTACTCTTATTCCATCTGAATTATTCCAAAACAATAGTAAAATTTGAGATTTCACAGTATTGGTATTGACCTTGTAGAATTCAGTGATTAAAGTGATACTGCTTATTAAAAATTGGAAGTGAATATAATAATAAAGAAGTTATTTCTGTGACCAAGGAGTAATAATTGAACTCTCTGCTCTGCCAACAGACCAAGTCTGTGTTTGAGATTGGACTCTGCAGTAATAAAATGTTTTGCTATGCAGTTCTCGGATCCATCATGGGACAATTACTAGTTATTTACTTTCCTCCACTTCAGAAGGTTTTTCAGACTGAGAGCCTAAGCATACTGGGTAAAGAAAACGTTATCTTTCTCATTTACCTGTTTTAGAAAAATCATATTTTCTAATGTGTTCTAATTTTAAAATTCTTTTAAAATAGAAAAATAAGGAAAGTAACTCTCGATTTGAAAAAAGAGTCTATTTTTTCATTTGGGGAAGCTTAGGGGAATTACTCTCCTAACTCCAGGGTTTTGGTTTTTGCTTTTTTTATAGATTATCAATTGTTATAAAAATCATATTTTGTGATTCTGAAACATAGCAAAACAAAACCTGGTATAGAGTAATTACAGTTTATAACTTTTTAAGGTACTGTGCCATCTTGTATGAAGAAAAAACTGGACTTAATCTCCCCGAAAACCAAGTTGGTCTCTTTTTTAAAGTTAGAATTTTCAGTAGTTAAACTAATAATTTCATTATTGTTTCTTGATGTACAGTCTAGTGTCACAAAATGTCAGTCTGACCTGAATAGCAGAAGGTTTTGTAAAGACTATGTGGAAATTACACATTATTCTTACGTTATCATTTATTAAATGTATAATACAGTGCATTTAAAAATTAGTTTTCCTATGTAATTATGAGGAATAATGTATTTGACAGTAATGCTGTCCTTGCGTTCTTATTTATGAAAATGAGTTTTACAGTGTCCCTACATTGTTTTCTGTAAGTTAAAATTTACCTTAAAATTGAGCTAGTTGAATTTCAGTATTTTAATTCCATATTCAATTCCCCTTTTTAAAAAAATGGCGTTTTAATGAAACATCTGCAATTTTTCAAGCAGTAAATAAGAATTGAGTGGATACTATTGTAAAGAGTCTTCTGCGCTTTGAAATAGAACATATTAATGTCAAATTTTTAATCTTCACATAGACATTTTCATTCAAATTGGCTACTACTGCTGAGACAGTATGTTTTTAAAGGACTATGTGATCTGTGAAATAAAAAAAACTCCTTTTTTTGGTGTTAATGTTAAAGGCAAGCCACAGAAGGTTTCAGGGAAAATTGTCAGAGGACTTGGGTTCTAATTCTGGCTGCTGCCTTTCCTAGTGGTATGACTTTGGATAAATCATTTAATACCTTTGAGTTTGCATGTTTTTATTTTTAACTGAGAGTGATTATGCCTGCCTTATGGAATAGTTGTGAAATAATGTATTTAAAAGCTGTGGTGGCCAGGCACCATGGCTTACGTTTGTCATCCCAGTGCTTTGTGAGGCAGAGGCAGGCAGATCACTTGAGGTCAGGAGTTTGAGACCAGCCTGTCCAAAATGGTGAAACTCCATCTCTACTAAAAATACAAAAATTAGTCAGGCACGGTGGTATATGCCTGTAATCCCAGCCACTCAGGAGGCTTGTGCACGAGAATTGCTTAAACCCAGGAGACAGAGGTTGCAGTGAGCTGAGATCACACCACTGCACTCCATCCTGGGCAACAGAGCAAGACTATTTAAAAATAATAATAATAATAATAAGCTGTGGTAAATGCTTGAAAAATGTAAGATATTAACCTTTGCAATTGTAAATTTCAAAGAAATGTAAAACCCAACTTATTTTCTCTTGCAGATCTGTTGTTTCTTTTGGGTCTCACCTCATCAGTGTGCATAGTGGCAGAAATTATAAAGAAGGTTGAAAGGAGCAGGGAAAAGATCCAGAAGCATGTTAGTTCGACATCATCATCTTTTCTTGAAGTATGATGCATATTGCATTATTTTATTTGCAAACTAGGAATGGCAGTCTGAGGATCATTTAGAAGGGCAAGTTGAAGAGGATATGAAGATTTGAGAACCTTTTAACTATTCGTTGACTAAAAATGAACATTAATGTTAAAGACTTGATTTGAGACTTTAACCTGCTGGCAGTCCCAAATGAAATTATGCAACTTTGATATCATATTCCTTGATTTAAATTGGCTTTTGTGATTGAGTGAAACTTTATAAAGCATATGGTCAGTTATTTAATTACAAAACAGTCAAAACCTGAACCACCTTCTGCACTTAAAGAAGTCTAACAGTATAAATACACTATCTATCTTAGATAGATATATTTTTTTTTATTTTTAAATATTGTACTATTTATGGTGGTGGGGCTTTCTTACTAATACACAAATAAATTTAATCATTTCAGAGGCATTCTATTTGGTTTAGAAGTTAATTCCCAGGAGTGCCATATTTCAGCTACTGTATTTTCTTTTTCCTGTCTCAGATACCATGTGCTACCATTTTTGTATCAAGTTTTTTTGCACAGGATGTGACCACTGTCAGATCACTGTTCTTTTCTTTCTTTTTGTGATTGAAAAGCCTATACTACAATTTGAAGTAAATTTTTTGTTTTTCTTAGTAAGTGTAAATGGTTGCTTTTTTTTTTTTTTTTAAAAAAAGGTATGTCTTTGGTATAGCAGAATTAATGCAGGGCTATCAAGTGGCATTCTAGGGTAACAGTGTCTGTAATTAACACTTAGTCGTAGAGTCAAAAAGATTTAAGACTGATTGGGTTGAAGTTTATAATAAATTATATTAACATGTCTTCCTTTTTGAGTTAAATATAACTATATACATGGTCAAATATCATTTTGTCATCCTCTAAATATAAATCCAAATACCTCAGCTAAGTAATTGTATTTATTTTTACTGTTATGTATGTTTCTAATCATATTTCTTAGGAAGTATAGGCTACTGTACTTAAAGAACAAAAAGTCCCCAAACCCAAACAGATGGTATATGAACCAGAGTATATGTGGAAGATTTTTTGCTGGCCTTACTCTGTGTGCATCGGAAGGTTCTTTGGCCTAGATTTTAGCACAAATCTGAGTCTGTTCCTTCTACTTCCATCATGTGTTCTGTACCTTTTTTTTTTGTTTCATTGGACATGCTAGGGAAATAGATGGATTTTGTGTGTAATGCCATTAGTTTTCATAAAAGCTTGATGAGGTATAGGTCATTTGTTTTGAGTATGTGGGCCAGAAATTTAAAATTAGAAATTTATTCTTCTGTTGAATATTTATATCTATAAACAGAAATGGGTCCCAATTCTTACAGGTTTAATTCTTCTTGAAGCTAATACATTTTGTATTTTATAATCTGTCAGGATAAATCACTCTTTAGCTTTTATCCAATATTAAGCTGCAAGTGTTAGCACTGCAGTACTGTCATTGACAGGGAAAATACCTATTCTTTGAGTCCTTGATACTGAGACAGTTGAGTTTAAGGGGCTGCCTACAGTTTATTCTACTTAACCCTTTAAGGCTAAATTGTCACATGTGCATTGTTCCATGTCATTAGATGGAACATGGAAACCATGTCTAATCAACTCTATCATTAGTGACTTGATGCCTCATACCCGAATTTTGTAATGATTTTTCTTCTCTATTACAAAGACTTGAAATACATATTAAATGCACGTTAATCTTTTGCTTTGCATTTTAGGTTCAGATTATGACTTGAATGAAATAAATGTGCCTATACATTGTTTTTTGAACTATACAAATAAAAATGATTTCTTAAGTTAATGACATCCCAGTGGGGGGACTATTAGCATTAAAATTATCCATATGGATGCTGAAGATAACTGAAATTAAAACTATCCATATGGTTGCTGGAGAACTCGAAGTACACAGAATCTGTATGATTTAAAAAGAAACTGAAGTACAGTACTGACCCAGATCGCAGTTTTCCATAATATATTAATCCAAGTTGACATGAATGATTGAAATGTGTTGGTATCTAAATTTTAAATATTTACCCCATTTCCTAATCCTAGGACTTGCTAGAGTCCCTAGCAATACTACCTTATTTGATGCTTTTCCTTGTTAGACTACCCTATGAAGTTACTTGGTCCCATAATGGCTAAACATCAGGGAAGAAAAGAAAAGAACTTAATTCACTGATTAGGTAGGTAATTCTGAAATGATCAAAACTGGCCACACAGAACAAGGCTGAACATGTTCTGTCACATTTGTGCCGGACATTGCATGACCCAGAGATGAAACAAAAGTGAAACCATGCAACCCAAAGAACCTCCCCTTTCAGGATACAGGCTTTATTTATATAGGAGTAACTGCCCTCACAAGAATAAGACACATTATTTACCTGTCATACCCATGCGTAGGGTATGTCTTCTACATTGGTAGTCTTTTTGAAATCACTTAAGTTTTGGTCTTTTTGATATACTACATAAGTAAAGAATGTATTGGTCATACTTAAAAATAGTTTCTCACTGAAATGAATTGGAGGCAAACAATAAACATGATATTTAGAAACCTTAATTAATTTTACCTTGCTTTCTGCCTCTGTCACTTGGCAATTCATGTGCAATTTTACTTCCATATATGACTCACCCATAAAGTTAGATGATGAACTGGTTATCTTTTCATTAAATATTTATTTAGTACCTGGAGTGTGCTAGAAATAGAATGAGGATGGCATTCCTGCCCTATGGGAGCACATGAACACAGATAGCAGGGGATATAACTGCTAATGAGCTGTTTTAAGAAAGTAGATAGTGATCTTTGCACATTTGCTTTAAAAATACACATAGTTTAAAATGAGTCCAGCGCACATTTCACCCCATGTTTCCTTGACATTGGCAAAGGAGGAGGAGGTAGCCTAGAAGCTTCCTTTTCTAGGTAAAGTGGGGAAGCAGTGTGGATTCTTTCGTGTGTTCTGATAGCCATTGTCACTACACACTTCTTTGAGTCTTTATATCTCCTCCTGCTGCATTTTAAAGCATTTTCACAGTAAGTAGTTTGGCCTAATAAAACATTTTTATAGCAAAAAAACAAAAAACCTTTGATGCGCTTTTTAAGACTGAGCTCCTGCAATCCAAACAGCAGCTGATTTGTGGTACGGATAAATATTCATCCTAACTAGTATATGACTGGATGGACAGAGCACCCTGACGGTTAAGCTGCCTTGAGTTAGCACTTGAACTATCAACTCTTATTTGACGACGTTATTTTGGGTTTTGGTTGTTAAGAGTTGGTTATTGTTGATAATGAATAATGGTTAACCAGTCCCTAGTATTAATGTAGATATAATTGTCCATAACATTGTAGGTTTAGATTTAAAAAGAAGAAATAGTGTCATGCCTTCAGGAAGTTTTCAGTCAGCTCTGGAGACCAGTGTGAAATATATCCAGTATGGTAGTAAATGCTGTCCAGAATGCTACAGTCGCTGAATGAGAGAAATAACTTCATGGGATCCTCAAAGAAATTTGTCATAGAAATTTCCTAGAACTAGTGACATCTGAGTCAAATTTTAAGTTGGGAAACTCCAGCTGAGAAGCAGTAGAACATTGCAACCAAATAGCAAAGCCTCTGCAGTGGTAGTGGTAGGGGCTAGAAGCAATCTGTGAAAACCACAAGGAGTTTGACACTGTTAAGGAAAGAGGTACAGGGTGAAGGTTTAGAGAGAGAGGCAGGAACCTAATGGTGAAAACAGAGACATTTGACTTGTCTGGTAGCATGCCAGGGCATTTCAAGAGTTTGATGTGAGTTTGGATTTTTGCATCATGGTAATGGAAGCACAGAGGGTCAGTTGTGAAGACAAATCTGGAGACCAATTAGAAAATTGAGGAAGCTTAAGAAGTACTGTAAAGGGATGATTGAGCTGTGGCAGTCAGTATGGAGAGAAAGGCATGGAATTTGAATTGTCTTTTTTTTTTTTTTTTTTGGAGATAGGGTCTCACTCTGTCCCCCTGGTTGGAGTGCAGTGGTGTGATCTTGGCTCACTGCAGCCTCCACCTCCCAGAATCAAGTAGTCCTCCCACCTCAGCCTCCTGAGTAGCTGGGATTACAGGTATACACCACCATGTCTGGCTAATTTTTTGTATTTTTGGTAGAGGCAGGGTTTCAGTCTTGAACTCCTAAGCTCAGGCGGTCCATCAGCCGTGGCCTCCCAAATTGCTAGGATTAGGTGTGAACCATTGTGTCCAGCCTTGAATTTGTATCTTCTGAGAGCACTGACATGACTGGACAGGAGAAAAGGAAAATGGAAAAGATAACTAGTCTGTGGCCTTTGGCTTGAATAATAGAGCTAGTGGCAGAAGAACCTAAGCTAAGCAGGGTTTAGTGGGACACAGGTCCATTTGAAATGTAAAGCTTGTGATGTTCTTGGGATTTCCCAGTGGATGTGTTAGATGCCAAGTTACTAAAGCACAGAATCAATTAAATCAGTGGCTAATTATAAGCTAGTAGAAAGCATCCATTTTTGTGTGTGTTAAATTAAGCAATAAGTGAAAGTCGACTCAGCTTTGACAGAATAAGATTTTCTTTAAAAATTTCCCTTTAGTATAGTTATTAATCAGCAAAGAGTTGTATAAATTCAAAATTAGAAGGACAAGATAAAAGTATTTCAATCTCCTTTGTTACAGAATATTAATAGTGAATCTTTTATTAAGGTTACTGACTGGAAAACACCAATCTGAATTATTGGTAGCACTTTTGTTGATACTCGCAGTAAGACACTTTCTAAGAGGTGAGAGTGTGTGTGTGTTTATGTGTGTGTCAAAGAACCATATAGCTTAAGGTATGCCACATGAGCAAACGCCAATGAGTAAATGACATTACCATTAGAAAACAGCTACTTACTCTAAATGAGTAATTATGGCAGAAGAGTAGAAAACAATGTTGTTTTTTTGAGATGGAGTCTTGCCCTGTCGCCCAGGATGGAGTGCCGTGGCGTGATCTCAGCTT